AAGAAGTTAGAGTAAGTATCAAAAGTTTTTAGGCCCGATTTTACTAAGCCGGGGCGCAAAAAGTGCGGTCGATTTCTTGTAAAATGACTTTTAAACTAGACAACAATTATACAGTTTGTGTAATATGACCTAGACCAGAAACCTACTTTCTCATTTGTGTCCGGATACTAAATTATCAGTCATAGTCATAAAATGCCCCAATAAAAAATAAGCATATGTGCGATACTCTAAGCGTATGGCATACAAAATTGTCTCAGTAACGCTAAGAGTAGCAAACTAATCCTGTATGCCGATGGCACTACTCTTCTTTCAATTCCCAGCACATTAGAAAAGCTACACAATGAATCACCAGCATGCAGGGGGACATCCAAAACTGGTTTGATTTGAACGGGCTGACCTCAAATAAAAAGGAAACTCAATAAGAATTTTCACACAAATTATGACAACGCAAGAACAGCAAAGTTTCTCGAGGTGTACGTTAACTCTTGGGATAAGCATGTAAATCATGATTAGACAATATTTTTGACAAAAGCCATTTATCTAATACGTAATTCGAGAAACTCTGTCTCAGAAAACACTGCCCACCTCACGCATTCTTCTATAGTAGAATGGCCTTCGCCATTCCTGCATGGGGTTATTCTCCACACATGCCTAGAGTTTTTGACCTACATGTCAAATTTAAGGTACAGGGATCCTGGCAAAAATGAATTAATTAAACTGAATACAATGTAATTGCATTGGCTATACATCTATGCTTGCCTTATGCATGTTAAAGCTTACTCCCACAATTCTGCAACTCATCGAGATACTCATAATAACAACACCAGAAACAAAGAACATTTAATGTGATGATGGTGACGCCACACTCTGTGCGTGTAGTACAACGTCGGCACAACGGTTCTCAACAAACTGCAGCAAAGTGAGGTTACATACAAAGTTTTGGCCACTATGTGAACAGTTTCACTAGAAGGCGCGCCAATATTAGCCATGCTCCGAATGGAGGAAGGTTTTCAAAAAGATGTCCTCCTTAAGCAATTGAATGTGTCAAGCTAGCAAGCTTAAATTTGAATTTGGTAAAATGGGTGCATGAATGCTATATTCGAGCTGGGTTCTATCTTGGAACTTCATTTTAATGGTGGTACCTACATGTTGCTAACATTACCCTTCCAAAAATAAGTAGGGGTGGACTTTTTGTCAAAACATTGTGTAAGAAAATGATGAAGGCTAGCTCCGACATTCTAATATTCGGATTAATAAGCGCTTTTTATTCCACGTCCTTTTAGTATTTCAGCTCAATTTAAAATTAAGGTCAAGTTTAATGGCTGACAATTTAAGGTAGCGCCGTTCTATCTCTGTATTTATTCGTATCTTTATCCTTCCAACCTTTTTGAAGGACCGAGGCGTGTTTTTGCAACCCAATTTGCTGATTTGATCCATCCCCTTTCCAGCTATTACGTTAATATTATTCAAACAACGGTTTGAAGGGTCTTCAAGCTCCCATACGGCATTAATGGTACAACGGCCTGCTATTAAAACAAACCGACCATATCCGTTTCCAGAAATCAATAAGGTCTACGCTTCCAATGTCATGGGCGCCGGGTACGCATTTCCAAAAAGCATTATTCACTACTAAATAAGGTTGTAATTCAAACGTTTGGTATGTAATGCTTTTTAGTTATGATTCCAAATTTTTGATGATAAAGGAGGGAGAAGAGGGCAACAGGTGAATGTTGTGGTGCAGGTGCTTGGAAGACTCCATTGTACTAGTTATGCGTACCGGATTTAAATTAAATAATTCACTTTTCAGATTAAACATTTGTCAAAAACGTGAAGTTGCATAAATTCTAAAAACTGGATTTTAGCTTACTCGTATCGTAAAGGTAAGGACCGTGGTTAGACCTTGGATGCTGCTATTATATATTATACTCTACTTTGTTTGAGTCGAAAAGAATATTTTTTACTATAACCATTAGTATAAAAAAGAAGGTTTGGGAAAACGTGACTTACTTACTTAACTTATTTAACCGTCAGCAGATAAAGTAGATATTTGATCAATATTATGGTGGGGATGCTCATAGACCGCTCTTAAAGAGACATCCGAACAGACATGGGTTCCTTATAAGAATAAAAAATAGCAAGTAGGTTGACCCGGCATTTCCAACGCAACGCCGTCATCAGGGAATAAAGGATTGAGTTCAGCACTAGTTAGTCCCATGAGAAAAAAATAGTTACGAACTCGTACAACGGGGAAATTGAATAGATCAAGTATGTCAAACAGGCCCATTTATTTCGTTCGCAGACATCGTTTCACGGCCCTACCGGTAGTTACCGTCCATCTGGCAACGTTGCCCCTTCGCATATCTGCTCGGCAGAGCCCATCGCGGCACCGCTTCAGTACGGATAGAACAGCCAACTAGACCGGCACGCCGGGCGGTCCGCTTAGGTAAGAAAAGGAGACACATATCGAAAACATATCTCTATCATTCTAAGATCTAAAGTCAAATGTACTGAGAAGTCTATTACGTGTAAAATATGGCTAGAAGCGTACAATAATATACTAACATCAAAAAATTGAGATACATAACCTCCTCCGTGAGCCCACCAACCTCAATTTTTAACACCTACAATTTTTTCGTGTTTTACCTGTAGCTCCGCCGCTACTGAACCAAATTTTCGGAAACAACAAAGCACTTTCGTCCTTGCCGTAGTGGTAATCTTGTGTGAAGATTTCAAAATCCGAGCGGTACTTCTCATGTCGTAGACTGGCCAAGTATTAGCCGACAAACGGACAGACCGACGGATATGAGTGGTATGATTTTTCTTGTCTTGTAACAACCAAAAAACCCACTATCTCACCCAGTGGCGTACGAAATAAAGTAGTAACTGTTCCAAATACTTGGAAGTTCCACCTTCAGGGCAACTGTGTAGAGCTGAGTTATTTACTTGTATGATGACAAAGATTGTGAAACTGGTCGAATATTGTGAGCTTTGTTCGGAAAGGTTCAACATAAACGTTTAATGCTGTATGCATTGATGATTTTTGGTGTTGGTTTTGAAGATCAGCAAAAATAGCCAAAGCTGGTCGAAATTCTAGGCTTCCTCTGCTCACTTGCTAGTTGTCAATGTTACATGCCGAGAAAAAATAGCTAATAGTTCACCAACTAACTGTCATAAACATAAACTCTTGCTATAAAGCAACTAGACTGTTACTAAGCCATTCATATTCATAAGTAATTCTGTTAAATTCATTTCGTGGATGATTGCATTCCATGGCAATGGCTGCAATAAACACCGGAAAATACAACAATTGTGTACACTGTGTTGTAGTGTACCATGCCAGGGCATAAATCTGACGTTTAAGTGTTATAGATGTTGTAAAGTGAGTCATTTTAATTTTATGTTCAGTTGGAGCTGTAAAAGAAAATCGGAGCTGAGAGGTGGGTGGGTCATGGGTGGTGCACAGGACAGAGACACACAAATAATGAAGTTCTTGTGGTAGATACTTCTGTATCTCAAATTTCAATTTCAGTGGCGAGTAGACTTTTATTTACTATATGGCCAGAATCAAGAAATCATAGTCATAACTCAAGTTCCAGTTCCAGTAAATGGCTGCCGTTCACTTTCGTAGTGTTCGATTCTGGTAATAGATGGCACTTTGCGTTGTCGTATTTTGTACCGCTTTGATCTGTCGCAATTTGCCTCGCTAATAACACTTAACCTGCATATGTGGCTTGAGTTTGAAATGGAAACGCGTAACGGGGATTGCTATCATTTTGCCTAAGCCACTCGAACTTCATTTGGCCAGACTGGTCTGGGCTAGGAGCTAACCTCTGAGACTTTGTTGATTGTCTTGACATCTTTGCAAGACGTTAATCATATTAGACGAAAATACCCCTGTTTTGCGAAATAATTGTAAAGTCTAGTTTTATTGCTGAAAGTTGTTCAAAGGGGTATTCAAAACATTGACGCAATTTTTGTGGGAAAACTTTTTATTCCACAACAAAGAATGAGTTAACGTGTTTTTTGGGATTCAATCGAAAGTGTTGACAGGAACGGAAAAGCTTAAGCTCTTTCATCTCTGGCAATAATTCTAATCTTGGTATGTATTTGCCTTTTCAGTTTAACGAGAGATCGTCGTTTATGTATACCTTCTCGCTTAGTTTATTGAGTTTGCCCTTATGTTTCATAACTTCATTCTTATTCTTTGGCGGTAAAATGTTAGATGATGGTACGATTAAAGAGCCCAATATAACGGCGGTCATAAGAGCTCAGAGGTTGAGATGGTTGGGACACGTGCAAAGGATAGCAGGACATAGAGTACCAAAGGCGCTGCTTACCCATTCAATAGGAGGGAAGAAAATGAGAGGCAGACCCAGAACGAGGCGGAAAACTAAGGTGAAAGATGACCTGAAAAAATTAAACATAAGTAATTGGGAAAGAAGAGCAATGAATAGAGAAGGATGGCGAAGGATCACCAATCAAGCCATGGGCATACAGGCCTGTAGGTTATATATATCGACGACCTCAAATCAATACCTCGTAAGTCCGAAAATGCTGATTTTCTAATTTTGATCGCTTCTGATTCCTGTAAGTCTTCCCTAGCTACAGTTAGACAGCGAGCCGTATATAGCTGCTAGTTTGGTTGCATAAATACATAAAACAATACCACGTAAATCGGAGGGATGAAAAATAGATTCAATAGCGCGTATATCTCCTATATTCTAGGTTAAGTTTACTGTATAGCGTGAATGTGCTGGTAAGTTTGTTGCAATACTGTATATGCATGTGTAAAATAAAACTACAGAATGTCATACTTTGTCAGAAAACTTATTAGATAGCTGAGAACTAAAAATTTTTAAAATAGTTGGTGCCTATTCAGTAATATTCGTTGGTAAAACAGACGCTTGACTTACGAGCTATTGTACATGATATAATAATGCATTTGTGTTCCGGAATATATGACTTACGTGGTATTGTTTTCAATTACAGAATGATACAATATGAGCTCCCGGAGTAAACGTATACTGGAATTGTGTAACAACACACCACATAAAGTACCAGTGGGGTATATGTCTAGCAAAAAAGACAATGTCACTATTACTACTCCGGATATCAGCGAAAAAGAAAACTTCAATATCTTAGATCTACCAGTAGACATAGTCAACGAGAGTTTTATAGAAACGTTTGGTATGATTGATGCAGAAATTCTAGAATCAGTTGAAACTACAAGTCTAGCAGTTCCGGAGTTTGACAATATGGAAATTGTTCACGGAGAAGTTTCAGAAGTCGAAGGACTATCTGAAGCTACAAACTTTGCAGATCCAGAATTCGAGTGTTCAGATATCGTTCAAAATCAAACTCCAGGTGTTGAGGCAGCAGCTGAAAATGCAGGACTCGAAGTTTCAGTACTTAAGGAGATGGGTTGCCAAAAAGATAGTGAAATACAGTCAAAAGTCACGAAATATCGTGAAAATAGTTTCAGCGACGAGGAAGTACAGGCACAACCACGAAAACGCTTAGCTGGTGGAAACTTAAAAAAAATCAATCAAGATCTTCGAATGAAAGGAAAGCAATACATAGGCTACAGAAGGCCAAAAAATCAAACGAACACGTTTCACGATGCACAAAGGGAACCGAGAAAACAATCTTTAGGATGTTCGTCACAATTTTGTATTAAGTCATCAAAAAGAAAATGCAATGAGGTTGATGAAAGTATACGCCAAGATATTTTCAAAAAATTCTGGTCTGATTTAAACTGGGAGCAGAGAAAAACCTATGTGGCAAGCTTGGTCATGAAGATACCAGTCAAGGATAAAAGAAACATGATGAATTTGGAATCTAGACGCACTGGTACATTGAAATATCATTTGAAGGTAGGCTCGGTGAATATGCCTGTGTGTAAGAAAATGTTTCTTTCAACATTTGGACTGAGAGAATGGCAAGTACTTCATTGGGTATGTAAGAGTGAACACGGAATCCATAATAAAAAACCAGAAAGGAGAGAAATAGGAGGGATAGTGTCAAATCGGCAATCTAATGTTTTTATGAAGCAATTTTTAAATAACTTAAACAAATTGCCGTCGCACTGTTGTCGTAAGGACTCAAAAAAATTATACTTAGAACAGTCGTTCAGAAACATTACGAGTCTTTACCAGGCTTATGTTCAACATTGTGAGAAGTCGAATGAAAAGCCCATGAGCCAAAATTCCCTTACTAAGATGGTGAAGAAACTGAATATTGCGTTGTATCAGCCCAAAAAGGATGCTTGTGACATCTGCTGTCAATATGAAGAGAAAAACATATCTGAAGAAACTTGGAAAATACATCAAGCTGAAAAAGAGCGGGAAAGAGTGGAAAAAAGCAAAGATAAAGAGGAAGCTTTGACAGGTACTCAACACGTTCTGACAATGGATTTGCAAGCTGTTAAAGTGTGTCCATCAGTGATGGCTAGTACGGCATACTTCAAAACCAAGCTATGTGTCCACAATTTCACCGTCTACAATTTAGCGACGAGAGACTGTACTTGTTATTGGTTTGATGAAACTAGTAGTGACTTACAGGCATCAACGTTTGCCTCATTTATTGTAGATTACATCAGGAAACATTTTAATTGTGAAAAACCAATAATTATATACTCGGATGGTTGCACTTATCAGAACCGAAACACCATTATGTCTAATGCACTGTTGCATTTGGCTATGGATTTGAATGTCACAATTGAGCAAAAGTTCTTGATAAAGGGACACACTCAAATGGAGTGTGATAGTGTGCATGCTACAATAGAAAGAAAACTAATTGACAGAAAGATAGTTCTACCAAGTGACTATGTAAGGATATGTGAAGAATCAACGTCAAAGCCCTTCAAACATGAATCAGTAATGGTTGATCATGATTTTTTTACTAATTATAACAACGTGCAAGTATATAAGTCGATAAGACCTGGACGAAAGGTTAACGATCCTACCGTAACGGATCTCCGAGCACTGCAATACTCCCCAACTGGAAAAATCTTCTATAAATTGAAATTTGACGACCCTTATCAAGAACTGCCGATGAGGACTACCCGTACAAAGCCAACAGAGAATGTGGTTCTAACGCAGTTACCCAAAGAACGACTGAAGATTAAAAACACCAAATTCGACCACTTCCAAAAGTTAAAGGCAGTTTTGTCTAAGGACGTTTGGCCGTTTTATGACCAGCTACCTCACTACGAATAGTTTCATTGTTGCTAGCGACTCATTACGTTGTGCAATAACTTCATTTGTGTTATTTTTTTTATGTTGTACCTGATAAAAGATAGCATAGGTCCACAAAAAGGTTTACCGCGGTCAGGCATTGCTTCAGCTCCATTTAGTTCTTCTTATCTCCATTCGTTATTATCGATTGTAAGGCGAGTTTTGGACTAAGCCGCCCAACAAACATAATGTAGTCCCACCCACAGTCCAATTCTTTTTTGTGACCTATGTCTTCTTAACAAGTATACTTTAAAATAGCTGTTTAACTAAGTTATAACTTATTTGCTTATTTTTATTTTGTTTTTATGGAATTTAAAATTCCCAGGTGACTACGACAAAAACACGTAAGTCAAGGATTTTTTGTATTCAATAACTCGTATGTACAAAATAAAGTGAACAACAAACAGTTATTGTTCAAACCAATTATAGGAGTCGATTTAATATCTCCAAGATCCTAAATATTAATACCTCACATGGATATGATCTTTTATATTCAAGCTGTGCAGTTTTTTATGCCTCCTGCAAAATGCTACTTTTTGATATACGAGGTATTGATTTGAGGTCGTCGATATATATATATATATATATATATGAGCAGTAGTAAAAAATTTTGTTAGGCTTTAGTAAACTCTTTTAACTGTAATTTCGAGCTTTCAGCATTCTCTATGGAGCCATCTTCAGGAGCTGAGAACACAAATATGATGCTAGCAACCAGTACGGCAAGGATTTAAATTTTATCAGACAACTTAGTCGTCGCTGAGGTTGCAGCCAAATGGTGTTTCAAAACGAAAGCGTGGATGAGAACACTTGTTACAAATATAAAACCAAAAGGATGGACACATTGGGTTTGTTGATAACGACGGAAACCATCGTTAGTTGTTAACACTATATATCAATACACCCGAAAACATTAAAAATGATCGAAAAGCAATTTTGGGGGAAACAACCGGCAAAGTCTTTTCTAACCGCCTACATCTGTTTCACGTATATATAGGTATATATAAAGATTTTTAGGTATGTCAGTAACTCGCAACAAAAAAGATAGACACATCCGCTTTGTTTTAAAATGTGTATTGTAATGCATGCTTTTCGAATATTGTAGCGCATTTGTTCAGTTACTCACAAATACGAAGTGTTTGAATTTGATTAGAAGAAAAAAACGTAACCTTCGTTTTCCGCATAAAAATAACATTTATCTTTCGGAACTGTTTGTGATTCATATCGGCAAGGTAAACAAGTGTATTTTGCTATTGCTTTGGAAGAACCCTGTATATTGCTCAATATACTAGTAGTGATAGCCGGAAAACAGGTGTTTTGGAATAAGCAATTAGAATTTCTCAAAAAACTACTTGACATAGTCCAATTTGGTGTTGTTATTTAGAAGTATGAATCCTTGGACTTGAAGAAGTTGCGTGAAATTATCGTCGCATTACCAACAAGTGCCAAAACTTGCATTTTGCCTCGTTTTTCGGCCATAACCTGTTTGCTATTAGTCGTAACGTTTCACGTGTGGTCTCATTTTGTAGGACTCATAAATACCTAAAAATTCTTATAAGAAAAGTTTTTTCTTTCCTGTTAATACTTTCGATTGAATACCAAAAAACGCGCTTTCTCATTCTTTGTTGTCAAATAAAAAGCTTTGACACAAAAATTGGTGTACCCATTTCATGCGTCCAAGTTTTAAATACCCTCTTGAACAACTTCATCAATAAAACAAAACCAGACTTAACAATTATTTCAGGGAGATTTGCCAATATGATTAGACTAAATAGATAATTTTCTTATGCGATATTAGGGACTCCTAACTGTGATGTATAATAAGCCCACCATTCCTCGATTTTTCGTAAAATCTCTTAAGAAATGCAACATTTCTACCTCATATATCATCCAATATTTTTTATTGACGTACTTCAAAGGACGTCGATACTTCCTCTTGAGCGCACCCTTTTCATGAATTTCACAAATATCCAATATCCAAATACCGTGTTAAATCAATTTACGGACAAATAGGAAAATATGACACGGAAACTGGGAAGGAATTCGCGCTCAGATAGGGCAAAATACACGCATTCCTTTAAAAACGTATGTCATTCCGAAAAGGAAATCATATACTCCGTTCCTATATTCGTACATTAATAACATTCCTGGATAGAATTGCGTTATAGCATGGCCGGTTATTCTGGAATACATTCTGAACGTATATTCCAATAATTCGGCTGATAAAAGGATTTCAGAAGTGACATACATGACAGAAAAAGTGGAAAGCTTTGAATAACCGAGTGCGTATCATACAGGAAACTGATAAAATGTACCAAAATCTCGACATTCTGGGAAAATAGCAGCGGTACTCAGGAGCATCCATTGCTATGTTAGTCGAGGACAGCCAGATCTTATCTGCGATCTGTACAGAATGAGGCTATTAGATTACGAGTATTCTTGTCAGATTTTTTTGTCAAAGCTCATCCATCCGCCAAAATCGAGTATGCATGAAGTGCGCTTGCACGTCTTCTGTTGGATAAGGCACCGTATTGTATCTTTTCAGGTTTTTTGTTTTAGACCAAAGGGATAGGCCTGGTGCGCTCTATCAATATGGCCAGACATATCGGGTTCCTTCCAACACCAAATTTCTGCTATCTGGAACGTCCATTCACAATGGGCCAAATCAAGTCAGCTCATAACTTGTTTGGATAAGTATATGATGCTGATTGTCAGAGTTTCCTTATCTGAAATAACAGATTAGGTAATTTTGAGGAATCTCTTATCACGATATAAGCTGCTTCTAAGAAACGACAAATGACAAAACCATGGAACGATATACGATTTTTCGGATGAGTTCAAACAATAACTTAACTCCCCCGCCCTACTGAGCGGGGCCGTGGCAAATGCTTGTTCCGAAAGTTGTTGTATCCAGTATACAACTTCTTCCCGTTCAAGTGATTGTACATGCGTTAAGGAATACCTCAGTACCGATTGCCGGGTGGCGGTACAAGTCCTCCAACGGGCCACTTTAGGTCTATTTAATATCATTAACACGTAAGAAGTAGGTGGTAGACAAGGACCAGTCGACCGAGGCGGTACCACCCGTAGCTTTTCCCAGGGTGTCTTGTAAATGTCCACATGTTTCCACACCTAAGCTATGCAGTCGGTTATCTTCCAAAGCAAAGAAATTAATGATGAAGGTCCCTCGAGCACTAAGAACTCCGGACGTAAACCCACTCCACTCTCGGAATGTCCGGGTGGAGGGTGTGCTCGAGGGAACATCATCGAAGATAAAATTTGTTTTTCGAACATCTACGGGATTAACAGCAACATTGATGCTGTTCATCACTACCTGCAATCCAATCGTCCCGCCATGCTTTTCTTGGCGGAAACAAAAATCTCAGAGTCTGCACCGACTAACCATCTTAACTTCCCAAACTACGAGGTGCACTCCAATCTGAGAAAGAACGGGGCAGTTGTGGCTTTTGTCCGCAGAAGTCTTTCCTGCTCCAGAGACGTTTGGAATCGGACCGGAAGGACATTCTGTGGCTTCTCCTCAACTCCAAAACATCACTCATATTTATCTGCTGCCTTTATCGCTCTCCCTCGGACCACAACTGGGATGACCTACTCGAATACCTCGCCGTCCAGATCCTGAACATCAATCACCCCGCTTTAGAGGTAGTACTTCTCGGTGATTTCAATGTCCATAATGAGCTTTGGTTGGGCTCAAACAAGGCAAGAGAAAGCTAGGCTATTTGTTTAGGGCTAAGAAGTACTTTTCTCCGCATGACCTTCTGACTCTATACAAGGCCCAAATAAGGCCTAGCCTCGATTATTGCTCACACGTTTGGGGTGCTACCGCCCCGACTACATTGTCCATGCTCGATGCTGTCCAGAGGAGAGCGGTCCGACTGATCGATGACTCCTCTCGGGACCCTTTTGCACCGGCGGGCCGTCGGCGATCTATCTCTTTTCTACCGCTACACCAACGGACTTTGCTCCTCAGAGCTCTCTTCCATGATGCCGCCGCGCGATGTGCCTGCCAGGCAGACCCGCCTGACTTTGGCATCCCATCCTACATCGAACTACGTACATCCAGAACTGGCCAATACGACCGCTCCTTTGTCCCGAGGGTGTCGAGATTGTGGAACAATCTACAAGAAGAAGCTTTTCCCAGTTCCACTAACCTTAGGCAGTTCGAAAATCGTATTAGCAAAATTTCTTTTCGATCATAGCAGCCGCGGTGTTCCGGCATTTAGGCTTCTGCCTGCGCGGCTGCTTCGATATAAAAAAAGAGAGGCAGGAAAAACGGGCGCGACGAGATTCGAACCCGCATCTCCTCCATGCCGTGGAGCTGAGCTAGCCCATTGGTGTACAGACCAACTGCCTACCAGCTTTCTACATCGACTGATTGAGGCAAGTTCAGTCCTACCCACGCCTATGTTCCTTTGTCCTTCCAAGCTGCTTGATGCCCCATCTGGCAGCGTTCAACTGAAACAAACCGGATGTATAAGGTATCTCCAATTGCTTTCTGGCCAGACTACGCCGCGCCGTCTCGAGGGCACTTACCACGGTACTACTGTGCGAGGACAGTAATCTGTATACCGTTTTTCGGATGAGCGGATCAGTTACAGCGCGTATATTTAGTGAACAACAACTTGAAAGGAACGGCCGAAGATGGGGTATCAAGCAGCTTGGAAGAGCAAAGGAATAGTAACGTGGGTAGGATTGAATTTACCTCCAACAGTCGATACTGAAAATTGGTTAGGTGGGCTTCACGGAATGGAGGAGATGCGGGATTTCTCCCAAGTTGTTGCTTACCAAAGCCATGGAAATTATAACATTCACGATGTAAAAGCACCTAAATGATCCAACAGGAAAATTTAGCAATTATAATACATTCCTTGGTTATGGTATCAAAGAGCTGGTCTTACTGACACGCCCTTCACTGTATCAAAGTAAGGTCAATTAGAATCAATCGAGAAAATTCGTCTGTTTAT